TGCCAGAGAGAGTCGGATTAAGACTTGAAATTAGTGGTTGCCAGAGTGCCAGAGAGAGTCAGATTAAGATTTGGAATTAGTGGTTGCCAGATGGTACCAGAGAGAGTCAGATTAAGCTTGAGAATAGTCAGTCAAACTGAAAAGTCTATCACCACCCAACAAATCCTATTAATTGAGACTTAAAAGCAATTACTCATATATATTAATACATCAACATTTGGTGTTTATATAAATTGGCATTCTCCCATTGTTCTCCTTGCGAAAGTCTCCAGACACACTATAGCATAGCATTTGTGTTTTCTCAAGTCATGGGCACTGCTCTCCGACTTCTTATTCATTATGGCAGGTAAATTTAATTCTTGTGTACAACTACTTAACCATGTCCATTGAATTTTTAGTTGTTTTGAGCAGTGTTGGAAATAGCTATTCGGGCTGAGTACACAGCTCAAGTCCGAGTAACTTAGTCAGAGTTAGGCTGAGTGCTGTAGCAGCAAAAAAATATTAAAAATTACAAAAAAAATTTAAGAAATAAAAATATGTTTATCGTAAACTTAAACAAGACATATCTAAATGAGGTTAAAAAAATGGTAAAAAATGGATTTTGAAAAAATCGTGTAGGGCATATTTTTTTAAATATTTCAAAATGAAAGGAAAATGTAAATATAAAATTTCATGGCCAAAACACTGTTTAATCTTTGTCATAATAATAAACAAAAAAGAAAAAAACTATATTTTAAATAAATTTCTCGTTTTTTAGATTTTTTATCAAGTTTTGAATGTTTTTTTTAGATCCATAAGTTGGATACCAGGCCCAGGGATTGTCGGGGTTGCTGGGGTTTGTGTTTGCCTCTCTGCGCAGAGAGAGAGAGAGAGAGAGAGAGAGAATTTTTTTTGACAAAAAAGAGAGATTAAATTTTCGAGCTTTTACGTATGTGTCCTTGTGTTGTGCATGAAAGGCACGATTTTGCAAGGAACGATGCGAACCCAAGTGGGAGCTGGCCCTTTGTATTGCTTTGATGTGGGCTACATAACGTGCCCCTCCTTAGGAGACCAAAACCTACCGGGCGTATGCAATTGCTGCCGCGCTCCCAAAGATGCGCCCTCCATCTCAATGATGGCTCTCTCCTCCACTGCAACTAGACCCCTTCCCTCTCTCCGATCTTCGCTTGTAGACATTGAATAATGGACAACATTTTATGACATCAAGCTTCATCTCTCTCTCTCTCTCTTTCTCAAGATTTTGAATAATGGAAAACATTTTAGTATTGTACCCCCTTTTAAGTTCAAGGGGTTTTACACGTGGGAATAGTTTATCTAAGGGGTCAACAAGTCCAACGCTCATAAAAAAATATAGGGAGGAAACCCCTATGCCTAAAAATCTATGTTTACATTAAATCATGAAATTTAAAGTTTCTCAAAAACATTATGAAATGGAAACGTAGAAAAATAGTGCAGATTGAGCAGATAATGCGCATAAAATATACTATTTTTAATACTTCAAATCTTTTTCTTCGTATTCATGTATTTTGAGATTGACATGATCAATTTGATAATTTTCGAATAACAATTTCATTTAGATTTTTTAGGTGGGCCTTACTTTTATTGTATAAGGTTGTTGCTTTGTACAGTTTATTTTTCTGTACATATTACACTAATCAAGAATAAAAAATTCTATGCTCAAGGAGGAGCATGTTGGAGATTCACTCCCTTAGATAAACACTAATAAGAGGCATTCCTAGGACTCCAAAAGGGCCATTCCTCAAGCCAGCAAGCAATATTTTATTTGCACACTGAGCCCCTGAAAAGGAAATAATGTTCCCATTTTGAATCGAGACCATCTAATTTTTAGATGGTCAGATTTACTTATTTAGGAACTTAAAATAAATTTTTGTTTGGGAGTACTTGTGGATCCCAAAATCTCACATCCAAAGATGCTTCTACGTATGTAATTTATCCAAGAGTAAACCTGCAGTATGTGCTCCATTAGGAGCATTGTATACGATCTCTTTATCAAGAAAAATGTGTGATTCATCGTGTAACTAGCTGGTTATTTCTGAAAGGTCTATGCAATGGTATGATAACGTGTGTTCGATTAAAAAATATTGAGTGAATTACGTTCGGAATAAAAAAAAAACTGCTAAAATACGAAATGAGTCAATTTTTGGACAAAATTATACTGAAGGTTGGTCAACTTAAGGTTTTTTTTTATTTTTTTTCAAAATTGCCCCTTTGCCTTAGGATACCATTCATGGATTGCATTTTATTTATTTATTTTCTCTTTTAGTTTGTTCGAGAGTAGGGCTGTGCCCTAATATTTGGGTCAATTCCCAATCGGTCAGATGCTAGCATCATCATAGTGCCTTATGTGGTGCTCTTCAATGCAGTCCAAGGTTGGCATCCTCGGACCGCAGAGACTAACTTTGTTAAGCAATCAGAGGCAGTCTGAGTTGCCCATTCTTGGACCACCTTCTATGATACTCTTCAGGTGGTTTGAGGTTGGCATCCTCGAATCACATTAGCTCATTTGTTTGCTAAGAAATAAGGCGGTTCGAGGATACCAACCTCATATTGACCTTCTGGACTGAGCGCTACCCTATTAACAAAAAAATAAAAATTAAAAAGAGGTATGAAGATATCATCTTTGTGTTACAATTGTTAAAGTGTATTTTCTAGAAAGTATATTAATTTATTATGAGTGATGTAGCTGTTAGTATTTTTTATTTGAAAAATACTTATATTTATTTCAAAACAACATTATGGTATATCATTCGTTTCTAAATGCTTTGTAGAGAGAGAAATATGTGGGTTTGATTCCCACATTGAAGAGGAGAGAGTTTGTTGAGGTGTATTTAAGAGAACTCATTCTCATGAAATATATTCTAGTACAAAGGATAGAGAAGGCACATGTGCGGAGCACGCGAAGTGTGCGAGGGCGAGGGTAAGGGCGTTTGATAGAGCACTTTGCACTCTAGCCGTCGATGAGTGTGGGACATCCACCGGTTATCTAACCATTGATGAGATGGAGGCTTGTAACAACAACCATCAAGTGTATGTAACTTGTAGTTGTTGGAGTGCATGTAACTCATATAACTTGAGTGCATGTAACTTGTAGTTGTTGGAGTGCATGTAACTCATATAACTTGAGTGCATGTAACTTGTAGTAGCCATCAAGTGCATGTAACTTGTAGTTGTTGGGGTGCATGTAACTCATATAACTTGAGTACATGTAACTTGTAGTTGTTGGGGTGCATGTAGCTCATATCAATTGTAGTTATTGGGTGATGCATGTTACCACCACAACACTAAATGGGCAGCATCTTGGTGCTCTATAATAAGGGGCCTCCTACCCATACAATTTTGAAAAACTTGGAACAATTTTTTAGTCTCTCAAGAGGCTATTCTCTGCAATTCCAACAAGCAAACCAGTGGGCTAACTCTCTCTCTACTCGATTTTATCTCTCTCTCTCTAAAGTATCAAGACTCTGGTGTCTATTATGTGGGTTCCAAGCTCAGGTACATAGAGCTTAGGAACATTGTTATATACTTTATGTTTTCTTGTATCCCGAGGACGAATTGCCGTTCTTATGCACAACAAATAGTCAATCGAAGGGGGGCAAATATCGTCTTGAGATAGTACTCCTACGTACCAGAAAACAAGAAGAGTTCGAGATCTAATTTTGCAAATCGTACCATTTTTTTGCCCCCATTTCACTCACCATAACTTCGACAGTTCAAGATGATATTTCATGGGTGAAAGAAAGGAGATTGTCATGACTTCTTTGAAGGTCATGAATCACGACTTTACTTGACTTGAACACTTCAACGGGCTGAATTTCCCGAGATGACAGCAAAAGGTTCTCTTTTTGCTTACCACTCTCAAAGTAGCTTATATAGTCATCGAGTCAATGCCTGCACCATCGTCACCATCGGATGACTCTACTGATGAGCAGACTCAATCATACAAGAGATGGGTGGAGGATCACTATATATACAAAGGTCACATCCTAAATTCCTTAGCGGATCCGATCTATGACATGTATGCCTCCATTGGCACGGCGAGAGAGCTTTGGAAACTACTTGAAACCAAGTACCTCACGGAAGAGTCTGGTAACAAAAGATTTCTGATATCTAATTTTTTAGATTTTAAATTCATTGAAAACAAGCCTATACCTTCTCAAGTATATGAGTTGCAACTTGTACTCAATGAACTTAAAGATTGTGGTAATTCTTTGAATGAATATTTCCTAGTTGGCTCAATAATTCATAAGTTAACCCCATCTTGGAGAGAGTACCAAAAGAAGATGAAACACAAGAACGTTGATCTTGATTTGGTTTAACTTCAAGGATCTCTTTGAATTGAAGAAGAGAATAGACTTAGGGAAAAGAAATATGAATCAATTAATTTTCACTCTAAGGCAGACCTTGTTGAACAAAAATCAAGTGATTCGTATAACAAGAAGCCTTTCTTTTCTAAGGTCCATAATGAAAATTATAAGGACCAAAAGTCTATTACCAACAAAAATAAAATGACCGCCACTTGCTATGTATGTGGAAAACCGAGACATTTTTCAAGAAAGTGCTGACACCGAAAAGGGCTCAAAAGACCTAAAGATCAAGTGAACTTGACTATTTAAGAAAAATTTATCACAATGGTCATTGAAGTAAATATGATCGATAAAGACAATGGATAGTTGGTCAATATCAGCATTACCATTCATGTGTCTAACAATCGATACATGTTTAAAACTTTTGAACCAGTGGGTGACAGTAATTCAGCTCAACTTGGAACCCAAGCTATGGTGAATATGTTTGGAAAGGGTACAGTGGAACTAAAGTTTAGTTCAGGCAAGGTACTCACCTTAGAAAATGTGTACTACATACCGGACATGAGAAGAAACCGTGTTTTAGGATGTATCTTGAACAAGAAGTGCTTTAAAATGGTCATTGGATCTAAATAACTCTATCTTGACAAAAAAATGTGTATTTGTTGGCGAGGGATACTCATGTGATGAGATGTTCAAATTTAACCTTGTTAATGAAATGAATATGTCTTTTGCATATATTGTTACTTCGTGTAATGTATGGCAGGGTAGATTATGACACGTTAATTATGCATCAATTAAATCTTTGGTTAAAACTAGGATTATTTCTAATTGTGAGGAATTAACTAAACAAGAATGTGAAGTATGAGTACAGGCAAAAATAACTAGAAAACCATTTCCTTCAATTGAAAGAAAGAGTGAATTACTACATCTTACACAGTGATATATGTGATTTAATTAATGTTTTAACTAGAGATTGTAAAAGATACTTTATTGCCTTTATTGATGATTTTTTTAGATTTTCTTATGTTTATTTGCTTAGACATAAAGATAAGGCTTTTGAAAAATGTAAAGTTTTCAGAGCGAAAGTAGAAAATCTACTTAATTAGAAAATCAAAATTATTAGAAGTGATAGAGGAAGAGAATATTTATCAAATGACTTTAATGAATTTTGTGAAAATAATGGCATAATTCATCAAGTAACTGCTCGTTATACCCCTTAATAAAATAGACTTATGGAAAGGAAATATAGAACATTAGTTAAAATGGTAAATGCTATGCTTATTTCTTTCTCTTTTCCATTGAATTTGTGGGGTGAAACTTTATTATCTGCATGCTTTATGTTTAGAGTATGGGGTCGTCTTGCATATGTTAGACTTCCAGATTCTAAAAGAAATAAATTGGGTCATAGAACATCTAAATGTGTTTTTGTGGGATATTCTCATAATAGTAAAGCTTATAGATTTTTGGATCTAAATTCTAAGACAATTTTGAAATCTAGAGATGCTGAATTTTTTGAAAATCTCACTTGTAAAAGTAAAGTGAATGAATCAAATAGCATGCAAAATGAAAATAATGAAGAAAATGATCATAATGTTGACGAAGTACATGTAGAAAATAATGATCATGAAATAATAGAACCAAGAAGAAGTAAGAGAATTAGAGGTGATCCATCTTATAACTTTGGATCTGATTTTTATATTTATCTTATTGAAGCTAATCAAAATAAAATTTTGAATTCTTTGCCTGTAGTCTCAAATGTAGAGGAAGATCCTACTTCTCTAAATGAAGCTTTGGTATCTCAAGATGCAATTTTTTGGAGAGAAGCTATTAATAGTGAAATAGATTCCATTATACCTAAGAAAACATGGAAATTAGTTAATCTTCCACTAAATTCTAAACTCATTGGTTGTAAATAGAAGTTTAAAAGAAAAATAAATTCTGATAGTTCTATTAATAAGTATAAAGCAAGATTAATTGCTAAAGGTTTTAAACAAAAAGAATGTATTGATTATTTTGAAACATATGCACATGTGGCAAGAATTGCTACTATTAGATTGTTCTTGGCAATAGCCTCTACCAATCATCAAGCCATACATCAAATGTATGTAAAAACTACTTTTTTAAATAGTAACTTAGATGAAGAAATATATATGGAACAACCCGAAGGATTTGTAGTGTCAGGTCATAAGAATAAAGTTTGTAAATTGGATAAATTACTTTATGGACTAAAACAAGTACCTAAACAATAGCATAAGAATATTGACAATATGTTGATGTCAAATGGTTTTAAGAGAAAAGAGGTTGATACATGTGTAAATGTGTAAGAAAATAAATTCTTTATGTTTCATAATTTGTTTATATATGGATGTCATGCTTATCTTTGGCTCTAATCTATAAATTGTCGGGGAAACTAAAAAGTTTCTCATATCTAACTTTGATATGAAGGACTTAGAAGAGGCTGATGTGATACTTGGTATCAAAATAGTGAGAAAATAAAATGTATTCATTTTGACTCAATCTCACTACATTGAGAAAATACTTAATAAATTTGAGCATATTGTTACTAAGCAAGTCTCTACCCCTATAAATCATCATATTAAATTAAAGAAAAATGATGGGAGATGTATATCTCAATTTGAATATGCTGGAGTAATTGGTAGTTTAATATATGCAATGACTAGCACGAGACCTGACATTGCATATGCGGTAGAGAAACTTATTAGATATACAAGTTGCCCAGGTAAAAAGCATTGAGATGCTATATCTTGAGTATTAAGATACTTGAAAGGAACTATCAATTATGACATAAAATATGTGGGTTATCCCAGAGTGTTGGAAAGGTTTAGTGATGCTAATTGGAATATTGAAATCCAATATTCATTATGAACATCCGTATGAGTATTACATTAGCGAGAGATACGATATCATGAGGGTCAAATAAACAAATATGTATTTCAAGCTCTACTATAGAGTCTGAAATTATTGCTTTAGACTCTACTGGCAAAGAGGTCGGATGGCTAAATAATTTGTTATAGGACATTCCCATATGGCTAATACCAATACCTGCAACAACAATATATTTTGATGATCAAGCTACTATTGTGAGAGCTTGTAATGATGTATATAATGAAAAATCTACTTATATTAAAAGAAGGCATAACTCCATTAAAATGTTAATTAAGATGACATGATTAGTGTAGAATATGTAAGATCAAAGGAAAATTTGGTTGATCCTTTGACTAAAGGCCTTGCAAGGAATGACATTAGTAAGATGTCAATTCGAATGGGATCAGAGTTCATTGAGTAATCATCTACAATGGGAACCCAACTTAGTCTTTTGTGACCTCAAAATTTTAGGTTCAATGTGGTAAAAACAAATTTTACGGATGGTTAGTTTGGTCACTAGACAAAAATTTTTTGTAAGCACACATTCTAAGAAAATCCATAAGGTGGATAAGTCTAGTGATGACCTGTATGTTAGTAGTATGAGTTATGCTCTTAATGTTATCTATGGACTATATATATAAGTCAGAATTTTTGATATATAGGGGTACTCTTGATAGATACACCTACATAAGTGTGGAAGTGAGGCCGCTTCTTATGAGATGGACTCATCTCTAGAGCACTTATGAAATTGGGATATTAGCATAAGGCCCAAAACATGCTGGTAGCTAAAAATACACTAGAGTTGAATATTATTTGTGAGTTATACTACCAGTGTGTTAAATAAGCAACCTGGTTCAAAGCTATAGGCTACCATAGTACTTGATGGACTTTGTAGTGTACACTCTAAGTGAAAATTCAAATTGAAAGATACTTTCATGGTATGCAAATAACATGTTTCTTATATTTTGTTTTGTTATTCTGAAATAGTGGAGGAAATTGTTACCATTTTTGGTTTGAAAAATACTTATATGTATTTCAAAACAACAGTATGGTATATTATTTTTTCCTAAATTGCTTTAATGATGGTTTTATGTTTCTTTCTTAAATTGCTTTGTAGAGAGAGAAAGATGTGGGTTTGAGTCCCATATTGAAGAGGAGAGACTTTGTTGAGGTGTATTTAACAACACTCATTCTCATGAAATATACTTTAAGTACAAAGGAGAGAGAAGGCACATGTGCGGAGCCACGGCACGTGCACACATGCGTGCATGTGCGAGAGTGTGGGCACAAGGGCCCTTGATGACGTACTTTGCACTTTGCATTCTCGCATCGGAGCATGAGGTGCCCCTCACTCGAGAACGTGTGCGGGTCGGGCTCGTGACTCGTTTATGTTTTTGTAAGCTCGGCTCGTAAAGGAATCCAACAGTCATCTAATCCTCGATGAGTGTCGATCAGCTGGCCGTCGATGAGTATCGGTCAGCTAGCCATCGATGAGTGTCGGTCAACTAGCCATTGATGAGTGTGGGACATTCAACGGTCATCTAGCCGTTGATGAGATAGAGGCTTGTAACTACAACCATCAAGTGCATGTAACTTGTAGCTGTTGGGGTGCATGTAACTCATATAACTTGTAGTTGTTGGGTGATGCATGTAACCACCGCAACACTAAATGGGCAGCCTCTTGGTGCTCTATAAAAAGGGCCCTCCTACCCATACGATTTTGAAAAACTTAGAACAATTTTTTAGCCTCTCTCATGATACCATTCTCTGCAATTCTAGCAAGCAAACCAGTGGGCTAACTCTCTCTCTACTCGATTTTATCTATTTCTCTTTCTAAACTATCAAGACTCTGGTGTCTATTGTATGGGTTCCAAGCTCGGGTGCATAGAGCTTAGGAACATTGTTATAAGACCTTTATGTTTTCCTGTATCTTGAGG